AGCAGGAAGAAAATGCTCGTGTTTGCACGCTCTAGATTAAAACTTGAAATGTTTGGGTTCATCTCTCAGACATCCATGTATCAGCCCACCTAACTTCTGCCCTTAAGGTGCCAATCTCTCTTTGTTCACCAGGGAGAATATTGGAGGCAATGGAAGTGGGTTCAGATGAATCTTCCACCAGCCTCTGGTCCTCAGCTACATTTCCACCAAGGGAAAAAAACGAACTTCAGTGTCTCTGGGAGTTGGCTATTGTTGGGTTACAGACATTGCCATGAGGCAGTACATTAACAGAGTCCTATAATTATTGCAGATAGCCAGCAAATGGTTGAAACTTTAACTACAGGACGATGGTTGTATCAGCAATCCTTCGTGTAATAAGAGTTTTGGCCTGGACACAGAAATCAGTTGAGTGCACAAACTGTTCTCTTATCCTTCGTTCCTCAGCTAAATTCACTCATGTTTATAGCTAATTCTGCTGTACAGCTTGTGATTTTGGTATTTCCTGTATCGTGGTACCATTTAGTGCTCCAGGCCTGGCCCCAAGCTCTTTTGTAAGAGGTTTGGTATAGAGATGGGTTTTGGGAGAAAAACATTTTGTCATCCAAAAATGGCATCTCAAAGAGATTAAAATAATTACAAATTCATGTTAAACTCATTAAATTGTTTTGGATAATTTGAAAAACGATACTGTGAAAGTTTCTTATAAATGATTTAGGGGGAGTGTTGGAAAACATTTCTTTCTAAACTTTTGCAGCATTTAAAAGAAAAAAAACGAGCAAAAAACTCAGATTAAAAAATAATTATGCTTTGTTTGACTCAAAACCACTTTTGTTGTTGCTCCTTTTTCTTTTAGTAGAAATAATAATAACAAAAATCTTGGATCTGTTCCCTCTTTGGTTTTTTTTTCTGAATTCTGTGGTTTATCCAGAAAACTAAAACTTCAGTCTTACATGAACAAGTCTGCTTCTACAGAAAGCCACAATAAAAAGACCTGGTCGATGACCCAAAGAGCTAACACAGGAGGTAAAAGGTCAGGCACACAGGAAGACAAAAGAAAAAAAAAGTGGGTACATTATTAAATATACATTGCATGGCTTGCCACGGCCCATCTGCAGTGGGCGGGACTCAGGAAGCCAAGCGGTCCCTCCTTGCCTATTCCATACATGCACACATATATATACACAGAAATAATATATTACATATATTCTATATTGATTGTGTCTTCAATAAAGGACATCATATGGATTCAGGAGCATTAATATCATACTGAGTGACCCATTGTGCCCCAGCTATGGCTCACAGCCTCTTCCCTATGGTATTCTTCTGGGAAAACATCTTCCTGGCTTTTGTGTCCCTGAAGTACATCGAGTGTTTTGGTTTGCTCCCCCTGGAGTAATCAGAATATCTAGAAATGGCTGAGGGCCAATAACTTCAAGCTGATTGTCCAAGCTGGAAACTTAAAGGATATACATACATGCCTCTGGATGAAGGTGCATTTAAGAGGATGTGGAAAGCCAGTTTCTGAGTCTCAAAGAAACTTGTGTCCCTGAACTGGAAGCAGCAAGGATGTTGTGTAGCTACCTGAAAAGAGTCTCTCCTGTTTCTGTGCTTAGTCAGGCTAGCAGAGCACTAACCACTGCATTGCAGTGCTCTGACGAAGCTGCTGGAGGTGGTTGGAATTACGCAGCTTTAACAGGGTACCAGGTGCATGCGCAGATGAGAGGATCAGCAGGTGGGTCTTGACCACCCAGACAACGTTAAGTACCAAATGCTCATCTGGATTCAGGAAAGGTAGAACTACAAGGGCCAAATTCTGCTCAACAGCATCATAACACCACCATTGTCACTGGCCTTGAAGCACTGTCATGCCAAGGGGGAATCTGGCCCCAGAGAAGATCTGTGGGAGCAGTAAAGGCAAACATTTTATCCTATTAGTCTAGCGTGGGAGCCTGCGTTGTGCTGTGCAAAATCCTCAGTGCTACAACTTTCAAGAGAGAGAAGGAGGGGGGAGAGAAGGGAAGAAGACGACCATGAATTCACCTTAGCACCAAGCTGTGCTTTTCCAAATGTCAACCTCAAGATGAAAGGAACTGCAGGTCAGAATGAGAAATACAGAGGAATTAAACGCACAATTGTGAAGGGAGGGGAAAAAAAAAATCCCCATTCATATTTGGGCAGCAAGAAGAAAACACAGCAATTTTGTTATAGCCTCAGAGGCAGGCAGCATTTACCATATGCTGTTGCCTCCATTACACAAGGAGATAAACCCTGTGGAGTGCAGGCTGCACTGTCAGTGCAGTTCAGATCATGGGGATTCCTGGCATGCATATGATTGTGTGCCAGGGCATGCTAAAAATGGTGCAAATCTAAATAAAATCCAGGTTCTGTATGCAAAAGTATGCATGCATTAATTTGCAGGTGCTAAGTGGTAATACTGCTAGGGTATTAGCACTTGCACGTGATTCATAATCAGGGCGGAAAAGGTAGAGTAAAAACCAATGTGTTTGCATCTAGACAACACATTAATCAGCCCTGTAAGCAGCCAGTTAGAGCAGGATCCTTAGAGGAAAAGCCTTTACTGGATACACATTAGACATTTTGTTTAAAGATTAAAGTTCTTCTTGTGTTTAATCAGTTTTAGAGTGGGATGGAAAACAGGATTAATTACAGTCCCTTCCATCAGTCTCCCATACCGCTGGAGTCACAAATGATGCGCCTTTTCAGCAAAATGGCCGCCATCAGCAGCAGGCGCAGGAAATGCTAATTGTAATTAAAGAGTTTATTTGGAAGCAGAGAGCAGAGCTTTAATCAGGATGAGAACGGAGCCTTGCTGTGTGAACCTTCAGAAAGTGGTTACCCAGCAGAATGGGCCTTTTTAAACCAGAGAGAGGGGTCTTTAAACTTCTGGACTGGGTTTTCAGCTTGATTATCTCCTCAGTGGGATACGGATGAAAATCCTCTCTGGGCCAATTATTGTTATTATTTTGCACTTACATGGCATTTACATGGCATGTCTGACTTAATGCTCTCAGAGGACTTTGCAAAGGGCAGGTAAGTTCTGTTCTGGTCTGAAAATGAATGAATTAAACCCTAAAGGGGCTAAGGACGCCAGGTGACATGATTCTGCAAGAAGGCAGAGAGGCACTGGTGGACACAGAACTGTGCAATGAGGCCTCCCAGACTTCTACACTGTAATTCACTACATCCACCCTGGAAAAGCATCACACAACCTGGGACCACCACCATCTCGACCTCAGTTGTAGGTCTCAATGAAAGCCTGGGGTAAACCCATACTTCGTGGGTCAAATGCATGCATGAATTTGCAAGCACTCCAGATAGCACCGGTACTTACCAGCTTGCAAGTAGAACTGTGTCCATTCAGATTCTGACTTTGGGAAAACAGAAACAGGCGGTTCTAGGTCCAGGACACCTCCATCCAAATCCTTGAAAAGGGCCTTTCTCGAGCCTTCGCACCTCTTTTCAGGGAACACGGTGTCTTCGGAGGTCTGTACACTGACAGGCAGGGGAGGTAAAGTTATTATGAAGAAGACAGCGAAGGAAAAATATTGTGCTGTTGTTTGTAATTTATTTACACTAGCAACAAACACTTCTGCACGTACATGCAATGTCTTGATATTTAGTAGGTGAACTCACATGCCCAAGAAAAGAAAAAAATGGAAAATAAGCAAAAATAAATGAAACCTAAGCATATCAGTCAAGGTCTGGAATAGTCTGTAAGAAATTCTGTAGCAATATTTACATTGTGGCATGTTTGTATCCAAACTGCCAAAAAAGACCCATCAGCACCCTCCCTCTCCAAATGTTGGCTGGGTTTGGACAAAGAAAATCACCTTATTTCCAGTATAACTTCTATCCCCAAATCTCCTCCTCCCCGGGGTTTCTTTTGGCCAGTGTGGACTGTCACGGTCCTTAGAGCCAGCTATAAAGTTGCAGCTTGTATACCTCTGATTCCCTCTTGGATTTCCTGATTTGAGGAACTGCAGTGATGCAACCATCAATATCCATATGCCATTACTTTTTGACCTATGGCAGATGAAGCCTGCAGTTGCTGAGGGAAGGGGAAATGTGTAGTGGCTGCTATCGCACCAAGTGACCAGGAATATCTCTGCTGCAGTATGCAGTGCTGATATGGTACAGGCATTGCTCTTCATATTCACCAGGTGATGGATCGTTTATTTTTTGGTTACAGATTGGTGTGTGTTGTACATAGTCTTTTGTTAAAAAGCATTGGCTGCCCAGCAGCACCTGTTTGCCTTGTTCTAACCACTGCACTCTGGGATGGGGGAGCCCTCTGAAGCGTCAGAAAATTGCACCTTCCCATCAGGAGCAACTAAGCTTATGCAGGAGAAAGCATGAAGGAAGCTGAAATGGCAGAAAGCATGAGAGAGGGAGCCAGCAGGGAGCACCCGTCTTAAGTAAAGATACTTTTGCTAGGAATTCAGAGAAGTTTCTTGCAGGTCAAGGAGCCACTTAACATTGCTAGAGTAGAAGCAAACTTGAAAGAGAAAACCCATTCTAACAGGACACAGTGCATAAGGATTAATGCATTTATAAACCTGTTCTGTTTGTTGTTCTTTTTCTTTCATACCCAGGTGTTTGGAACTGCATCTGAAAAGATTAGTATCCTAATTTACGTTCTAATAAAAAAAACTGGGTTTGGAGATTCAGTGTCATTTTGGTGGTTTTGATGGGCTTAAAGACAATGAACGGCTATTTCTCTCTTTCTAATGAGAGCTTCAGATCCTAAGAACAGAATTAAACCATACTTTGAAAAGAAGACCAATAAGGTAAGAGAGTTTCAGAGTGTTAGTCCAAAACAGAACAAAGCTCTTTTTGGATGGCACGATAACATATCTCGGCAAACTACATCTAATTTTCAAATAAATGTGTCCAATTTTATCATCAGTATACTCTCAGGAGGAAATTGTAAGCTTAGTGGCTTGAAACAGCCAGAAAAGCCTATGATTTTCTACGTAGATCGTTAAAGACTGGCTTCCACAGAGAGAGGTACCTGCAACAGGACAGATTTGTTGGAGGGGAACTCACCTCACCTGAGACATATATAAGACAGTTGAGCTTAATAATTTCCTAGACAAAGGTCTCTATTGACTACAGAATGAGTTTAGTGTCTTCCTTAGATTACACGCCTAATTTCTGGATCACTAAAGTGTAGTGAGCGGAATCCCATGTTGAGGATCTTAAGTGCTTTTAACCACATTTTGACTAAAGGTTTAACGCAGCTTAAAGGAACTAGCCAACTGGCCATATCACTCCTATTACAAAATACAATGAGATACAATGACTTGTAATCCAGCAAAGTCCATGGAAACATCTACAGATTGCTACATAGATACTCATTAAGTCTTGAAGAACACTTAGAATTTCTTGAGCTCAGGTTGGAAAAACCCAATTAGTGACATTTTGAATGCGGCAAACAGATATAAGCAGAGATTTACAGTAAGGGCAGAGAAACAAATAGGCTGATGCCCCCAATCAACACAGCTCAAAAGATCTGGAGAACACAGATAGCTCCTCTGATCCTGACAGCCTAGTTCAATTCTTGAACATCTCTCAGAAGATCCAACATTTCAGCTGGTTAGGTCTACCAGTGGTAGAAGCAAGGTACTTCAGGGTCTTGTCATATTCTCTGATGTTTCTATTTCCTCTCTTGCTCTAAGGCAATGCTCATCTTCTCTTTGACAAGACTTATCCATCAAGATATCCCTTCAGGATGCTGAAGCAGAACAATGCAACCACAGCCTGGATCAAGCACAGCAGTTGCAAGGGTGGGTTAAATAAATGTATGCAGATAATGCATGAGGAGCAACGAGAGATGTAATCTCCCTCGGAATTTTACCAGACTACTAAGAAAGCATACAGTAATCCATGTGCATTCATCACGCTTGAAAATCACCAGCTCTTGCAATGGACTGCATATTCAGCAGCTCACTAATAGCATAATATTGTGGGATGGATACAAGAGTGAAACATAATGGGACCTGACAAGCTGGACAGGTCTCAGAAATCTACACGCAAACTAATGCCCAGAGCAAAAAGCAAAAATGTAGAATAAAATAAAAATTCTGGCAGAAGGCTGGAGGGGCTCTAAACATAGCAGTGTGGGACACCTCCAATTATTTTTGACTGGCAAGTAGAGTCCATGCTGGATTTTTTTGCTACTGCAAGGTTTCCTGACATAGCCTCTGTATTGTGTTCACTGGTTGTAATAAATACATGGGCATGTGGTTTCCATTGGATGTGGTGTGTTTAAACCACTGCAACCAGCAGTGACTTAAGGTTATAGATGAAGCTCTTCCCTCCCTCCTCCATGTTCCTCCACAGGCAGATGATATTCTCCCTGGGCAGGAGCAGTTCTGGCAATCATTTGACATCTCACAGCCTGCCTGGTACTGATCAACATTTCTGATGTGATCTCGCAGGCAAAAATCAAGCTCCACTTCCCTGACCAAAATGACATTCCCTGTCTCAGGGTTTTTTGCTGGAGGTCCTGACATTTTCTGAAGCCTGAGGCTAAGTCAGAGACGCTCAGGATGGAGTTTTAAGAAATGGGATATGTGAAGCTTGTTTTGCTATATAAATGTCAGTAAAAGGGGAAATCCAAGACGATTGGTCTGGAGATGCACCTTGATGGAATCTGAACCTCAAATTTTTTAAAAAATTGCCCTAAACTAAGTTTCTTTTTTTTCTGGATTTGAGTTTTCTGTGCATGTTTGTTTGATGCCTGAGCTTGTTCATTTTTGCCAGACACAAGCAGTACAAGAGCAGAGTCAAAGAACGGGACTGCTCTGCAGCTAGACATCCAGTCTAAACCAATTGCTTAAACTCTTTGTAAGACAATACAAAAAGGCATCTGATACAGAGGTGAGGATAGTCCCAAAAGTGTAGGTGCTTTTTTTTGCACAAACCATTGAAAAAGATAGTTCAAAATAAAGCATATTACCTTGTTGGATGGAAGTAGAACTTGTCCTTCTCATTGACGTGTAACATCCTTGATCTCTCTGCTGTGATAAGAGGCATGATGCCTAAATGGTCAGCATTTGACATGATGCAGACGTCCCTGTCTTCACTGTAGCAGCTCTTTGTAAAACCAGTGAAGGTGACTTCTGCCAGGCATTAAGAGAAGATCAAGTGAGGAAAAGTGGTTAGAGGAGTGCCAGAACTAGAGAGAGAAAGGCTCTGTTCTGTGACATTTTCCATGTTAAATTGCTCCCATATGTATATATATACACAAATAATTTTTAAATCAGACTAATTGCATTGATCAAGATCTTCAGTTGGCTTTAGAATATTCCATAGCCAAGTTATATCTTAAGTTGGCACAAACCAAGTCATGCCCATAGCAAATGAAATCAAAGGTAACAGTGAGAAAGAAACAAAAGCAAGAGTGATTAATAAATTTTCATTTGAATCAGTAAGAACCAATTTAATGACAACCTGCCTTGGATGGTTTATCCACTTGCCAGATGTTAATATGAGCTGGTCTGGTGACACGTGCTTGGTTCTGGCACTGAACTCTTGTGCAGCAACAAAATCCATGCTTTACCACAAATTTTCTGTGAGACCCTGGACAAGTCTATTTGTCTTTCTCTGTCTCCTTTATTCTTCAGTAAAAAGAGGATAATGTATTTTCTTACAAAAGTAGGTAGCAGTGAGGGATAAAGGCATGAAAAACTATGAAGTATTTCCATCCCACCACAGCAACCAGCTATCTGGTTCTGCTATATGCAAATATTACTCTGGGCACTGTAGAATTCATTTGAACCAAAAACATGGGATACAAAACTGACTTTCCTCCCTCTTGTGCAATCCCTTATAACAATAAAAGCCATAACTGTTTCTGTGCAGCTGTAGTCATTATGTTCTACGCAAATTCTATACAAGTGTGCTATTAACTTCTCAAACTTGGTATCTTTATTTAGCTAGAGGTAACTGTAGATCAGAGATGAATCAAGTGGAAAAATAGGTAGCACAGAAGGCAGGCATGTTTGAGGTAAAATATATACATTAGCACATGACATATTTATACTGCAGTAGATTCAGAAAGTGAAAAATACCAAATAATTTTTTTTTAGTAGAACTGTATTGAGCTGAAGAAGAATTCTGTTATTAATTCCACTGAAGCTCAGATTTCCCCACCATGTCCATTTGTGTGTGTGGAAGGCTGCAACTGCAATTGGAAAAATGCAATTAGTCAAGAAAAACAGTGACAGAATAATCTGGCCAGTGGACATGGAAGACCAACCTTTCAGCTTCATGAGTCCCAAGACTTTTGGACAATGCCCAGTTTTGTGCCATGGGTTATCTGGCCTTTGGCTGGGAACAGTGGTAAACGTAGGCCATAAAATCCCAACACGGCCTCTTAGAGGGTAGTATGGTGGTCGATCCTTGGCTGTTAGATCAGCTGAGTAAGGCTTGATCCTGTCTCTGATGCAGTCAAAAGTTGAGCTTGTTGCGACAATGACGGAGTTTCTAAGTTCTATGAATCTTTTCCCCGTGTGGCATTGCTTGGCATAGAGACAGTACACTACTGGCATGAGACCCACAGTGTTGTCCACCAGCACCACATTGTCCAGGATGACGCTGCTTCCAAGGTGGAACATGACACCATAGTCGTAATTCTTATAGGATAGAAAACCTGTGATTCTAGTGCAGGTCTGAAATCCGTCTCCTCGGTATAGATGAATACCATGGAGACTTGAATGGGCCACGTTTTCACTGCAGAATTCTCCATCTAGCAAACATTCTTGGCCCCTGATATGGAAGCCAATTCGCTCAGATCCTGCCACAGCATTGCCACAGAGGGAGAGCCCAATGACAAGGTTCACCTTGATGCCAGCAACCCAGTTTAATAAGCCTTCCGGCTGCCTGCTCAGAATAACAAGATTCCTGATGAGAGAATGATTTTGCCCTTCCAAATCGATGCCAGGTCCAACCGTGTTGAACACCGTGTTATCATGCAACAAGATCCAGTTGCTCATGACTGCTTTAATGCCAACTCCGCAGCTACCATTAATGCTGGATGACACCACCGAGGACCCTTGGGATATATTCCTGAATTCAATGGCAGAAAGCTGAGGAGGCCCAAAGTTCAAAAACTCAATATTTAAGAGTTGAAGAACACCTGCAATGAGATAACTATAGTGAAATAAAAGCTTAAAAGGGGGGTAAGAATGACACCCATTTAAACAGCACTCAGGCATATAATAGCAGGCAATCTTTGTCAGTGTATTGCCAGCAATGGGTATTTGTTCATAAATATATATAAAGTTATAGTAAAAACCAGCTAACCACAGAACAGCCCCTCCTAAAATATATTCCACTATTTATGAAATATTATTAATACTCATGTTTCATACACGTCACACAGTCACAGTTTGCTTAGAATTGCATAGCACACGCAAATGGATACATCTGTTGTTAGACCGTACTGTTTTGGGCAGAACTGGTCTGGTCGATGAGGACAGGTGAACCTCAGCTACCTTCAAACTCTGTCCCACTGGAGTCTGTAAAACGTCCCACCAGCATTCTCCCAGCGCAAGCCACATCAGACTTGATCTGTACGTTCCGTGTTAGGAGTCCGACCTCCGCAGCCAAAGGGATGCGTCTACCATCTTCTGTGTCATGAGAGTGCCCTGGGGAGTTTCAAGAAAGAAAATGTGGTAAGTGTCTATCATACCTATAAACCAGTGCTTTGAGGGACATAAAGCCTGACAGCTTATGCACAGCTTCTCTGCAGAATTTGCACTGACATTCAGGTGTGTTTTTCCTCCAGCACAATCTACACGCATCAACACAAAAAGAGAAAGGCCACCTGCCCATCAAATATTCAACATGCGCTTATATTTTACTAACATATTTCATTTTTAGAAAAAGAAGGTGCTAAATCTTTTCCCTGTGGTGTGCAGATGCCAAATCAATGAACAGATTCACACTTCATTTTTTCTAAGCTGTATGTGCTGGAGTTATTCTTCAGTACACTGCAGAGTTGATCTCCATGAATTCTTGTTAGAATCGGACCAATGACAATGCTAAAATACAGTTTGCTACAGAGTCTGGGTTGTGAGTGTTTTCTAAACAAAGTCTTTCTAAACGAGACTTTTGAGAGAGTTTAAGCAGATATCTAGCTTGGAATTAATCTCAGGTGACTTTAGATGTCTACAGATATGATTTAGTTATCCAAACTGTTTTTATGTACAATGGAAAGCAACAGGCAATTCTCAAGTGCAATTTGTTATCTATTTTATACATCTGCTTTAGGGGGAGATGAAATACAAGTGAGCAGTATGTATTTTTCTGCTTTGATTATCAAGGGAGCTGAGAGTGACTAGCTCATGTGTGAACATTTACTGTAGATATCTACATTTGCCCAGGCGAATCCCAGTATTTATGTAGCTCTTAATTCTCCCATCAGTCCTTTCTTTTTCCAGCTATATCTAACAACTGCTGCAGTACTCAATGTGTATGGAATCATTTCATCCTAGGATACACTTACTATATCTACATTAGCTAAGAAAATAGGTTAAGAACCGTTCTCTGGCCCCAGGACTGATTGGCAGGTTTCTTCCTTCCCTTGCAAAAAAGAAAAGTCATGCATAAACTAGACATGTTATCCTTTGAACTGCATTTTGTCTTTTTAAATGCAATTGTCATACGAAACTGTGCCATGGAGGCTACTATCGATTAACACTATGGATAATTGCAGAATAGGGCTCAGTTCCACGTGAAGCTTTGTTTACTAGCACAGGTGTAGCCATTTAAAACACACAATATTTCTGAACCTTTTTATCCATCATACTAACTTCTATGCCTACTAGCTTGAATAAAGACTAAACTAAAAAAAATATTGCTATGCATAGGAAAAATCCTGGGTTTGGAGCTTCAGAACTTGACCTGTTAATAACAATTCTTTTATTTTTGTTAAATAGATGGTAATAAATTTATTTATAGGCTGAAATAAAATTAAATTAATTATCAACAGTGCATCTCTTTTTCCAGTTAAATATAGATCCCATGTAATCTACACACGAAATAGAGCTATATGCAGATATGTTTATTTACATATTAGATTACAAATACATTTCTTTTATGCCATGGACTTGATGAAATTTTGCACTTGAAACTCCATGAGTCTAAGTATTTTGCAAAAAGGTTTTTTTTTTTAAATTTTTCAGTTTTTGACACACCACAGAAATTGTGTAAATGGCCGAAAAACCCCTGCATTTATTTTTTTCCTTTAAAATTTCAGTTAATTTCTCTCTCTGCTAACCAATTCTACTTAAAACATGAAACACCAGGAAGTTTTCCAAAATTATTCAACACTGAATTAATTCTATTCCCAGAAATTAATGTTAGAATCAGCTATTCTGTGCAATTTTTAACATCACATTTTCAGTATCAAAACAGCAAGAAAAAAAGCATATGGAGAAAGAAATGGATAGCTCAATAAAGTAGAATTGATCTTGGTGAGATTTGAAATGGAAAGTCAATGCTTCAGAAGAAAACTCTCAAATGGAAAGACAGATTCCTTACCAATATGCCTGTGCAGAAGGCGTTCATGAATTCTTATGCTATGACCATTGACTTCTTTAAGTGTAACTACTTCAGCTTGGTGGGCTTCATAGGAGGAAGAGCTGATCACAATATCTCCACCATGATTCCAATCCACTTCGTCCTCCACAAAAATCCTGTAATGCCGAGATATTAAGTTAGCCATTACATTTACGAGAGTTATGCTCACAGATTTCCTAAAAAATGAGCAACAGTTTTGCCTAGGCAGATCTCAGAAAGAATCCACAGGCTAAGCTCTAGGAAAAGTCCCTTTAGGGCTTTCTGCAAAAACAGATGTCTAAAATATCTGGGAGGAATTTCATCCTGAAACATCTATTTCACACCATTGATTAAGAAGGTATAAGGTTCCAGTACAGAGTTGCAGGGCTCAAGTAAATTGCCTACCAAAGATGTGTCAGACCAATTTTGGTGCCAGGAATATCCTACAGAGCTGAAAGTCAGCATTGGACTTAGACACCAAAATGTAGGTGTCCGTGTGTAGGAGTATGTCTGTGTGCACTTGACATTTAAGCTTCCAGTGTAGCTGATCGGTACAGTCAGTCTGTTGTGTGGAAGGCAGTTCAGGTCTCTCTGAATTGGTCACATAGAGCAGGATTTGATTGCCTAAACATAAGCACCTGTTGCTATTTGAGATGTCCCAGGATATCCAAGACATCAGCTGGTAGATATGATAGGACTTGTTCATGGAGAGTTCCTGGAGACATGGGTGGAAGCCATAGAGGGAATTCAAAGGCATCTCAGATGAGCCCAAAGGCACCTCAGAAGAGCCCCAAAACTATGTTTAGGTACCTGAATCCTGCCCTTGGTGGTTGAATAGCCCTCTAGGCTCCAGCACCTACGACTCCACTGACTTGAATGGGAGCTTAAGCACCTTTTTCAACGCTTCACACAGACACCTCCATTTATCTGTTTTAATCTTGAACTGAAGATCCCCTTTTGCATTCAAGTTATATTTGTAGTTCAGGGCTTTTTTAGCTTCACATACAGAAAATAAGAGCATTTAGTGAAAGCAAAATTAATACTGATCAGTGTTTATGTATATTCGATAAACACCAAGGGTCCTACTACAGGGTGACTGGTGCTGGCCAGGTAATGATCTATATTCCTCAGGTAATTGTTGAGAAAATAGGCCACTGAATTAATTCAGAGACTACCTCATCATGCACTCAAGAGTTACAGAAGTGCAGAGAGAAAGGAAAAGTCCTAAAGGGATGTAACTAGTGAGCTATGTTGCCAAGTTTTCCTAGTGTCTCTTCTCCCAGGTTTTTTCAAAGGTGACTAGGCTCAAGATAAGTACTTCCAGTTTTCAGCACCTGTGAACATTCAGTAGAGAAGTCTACCAAAACTTTGATTTCTTTTTTTGCTTAGAGGAAGCACGGGACAGCTTCTGAAACAGCAGAAAAGTGTTAGTGCGACTGAGAACTTTGTATTTTTCAAGGATAAATGCACTGGCAAAGAGGAAGCAAAACCACTTGTGGCATTTTTGACAGTTCACATGCAACCCGCACTACAAGTTGAATCTTAAGTCCAGTTCCAAGCATACAATCCAATAATAATTCATGTCTTGTGGACCCAAACATAATTCTTTTGATTCTCGCATTTCAAAGAAATCTAATGAGAGGAATAAGTAAGCAAAAGAAAGCCTCTAAGATGCTAATCTGTTGAAATACTAATTTAGGTTTTCACTGTAAGCAAATAAGCAATTCTTTTTTTTTTTCCTCTTTCTTTTTGAAAGCATAAGTCCTTCCCTAATTCATGTGCTGATTCATGCTGGAAAATATATACAGCAGCTTCTCTCAGTCAATAAAAAAGCCACTTCCTTCAGCTTTCATATTCTAACACTGACTTGCCTATTTCCTGTATCTAACCACATTAACTCTTAGCTGGCTATTAGTAGGCTTTTCATGATAAATAGCTTTTTTCTTTTTTTTTTTTTTTCTTTTTTCTTTCTTTTAACAATGAAAAGAACTGTTTGTGTCATATTTAAGGTGGATGAATGAACTCCAAATACTTATATCTTAGCACCTCATGATATTTCATATAAAACATCTGGGCAGCAGGCCAATACGCGCCTGGATCCATTTCATCCAATTATTTAAGTGTCATGCTTCAGTCAAGAATCTGCTTACTC